ATAGTCCTGTATAAGTGGACCTATGCAGTTCAAAGGTCAACTGTATAAAATTGATCAAGAAACAATGGGATACACATATAGAGAGATCTAAAGGCAGTAAAAACAGAAACTCTTAAAAGTGGTCGGACTGAGGAAATAGGATTGGGGTTGAAGAAGGGGTAGAGTTGTTCGCTGCTGATTTTCATTATAAGCTCTTTGGTACTTGAAGGTTTTCTTTTTTATTTGACAAATTTTAAAAAGAAGGGAAAGGAAGAGCAAATGTATGATTTAGAATATGCCTTTCATAGTCATCTATAGCAGCGGTCCCCAACCTTTTTGGCACCAGGGACCAGTTTCGTGGAAGACAACTTTTCCACGGACTGGGGTCGGGTGGTTGGTTCAGGGAGTAACGCGAGCAGTGGGGAGTGTCAGATGAAGCTTCTCTCGCTCCCCCGCCACTCACCTCCGAGGTACTCGTCCTCAGCCCAGGGGTTGGGGACCCCTGATCTATAGATAACCTATCAAGATGTGTTAAAGTTGTGGACTAGAAAGGAAAACTGGGACATTTTCTTAGTCTATATCCACTGCTGTTACTAGTAATGTGAAATTGCTGTAAAAGAGCTTTAACCGAGAAACTAATATGTTCAAGGCCTTGTCCTAGGTTCTGTAGGAGACAAAAAGGTGGATGCAGTTTGGTGCCAGGCCTGCATCAAGTTATAATCTAGTCAGAGGTGCTAGAGATGAGGAAGAAATCTAGACAGGGAGGACTAGGAACTCATATTTGTCTGTGTCTACACGGTGCCAGGTAATTTTTATGGAAAAGATGTACTGTAAAAAAGATAAAATATAGATAGATATATGGGTTCAGTGGGTGAAAAAGGGTATTTACTTGTTAGAATCAAGAAATTCTTGAAGCACAGAGCATTTAGGAGGGGCCTTAAAAGTAGAAAGGGATTTCTATAGACAGAGATGGTTGGGATGATTTGGTAACTAAGAAATTCATATTTGAAGCTTTTTTTGGTCCCTTTTGTATATAAGCATTTAGCTAAAATCCATGTACGCTAGGTACAAATCTAAAGTGAATTTTTAAGATGTTTGCTCAGCTGAAGACGTTTTATTGAATGCAAGTGCTGTTATCAAGGTTACTTTTTATCGAAACTACTTTCAGTTTTACTCATATTACAAATCACAATTAAGATTTGAATTTACTCACTCCTGTCAGTCAAGTGTGAGAAAAGCTAACGGTAAATTTGGAGAGCACATGAGTTTTGTTGCTGTTTTTCATTTTTAAAAATTGTTCAGGGCTTCCCTGGTGGCGCAGTGGTTGAGAGTCTGCCTGCTGATGCAGGGGACACGGGTTCGTGCCCCAGTCCGGGAAGATCCCACATGCCGCAGAGCGGCTGGGCCCGTGAGCCATGGCCGCTGAGCCTGCGCGTCCGGAGCCTGTGCTCCGCAACGGGAGAGGCCACAACAGTGAGAGGCCCGCATACCGCAAAAAAAAAAAAAAGCTAAAATTTGTTCAGTAGGTTCTCCACATCTTTAGGAAATCTTTTTAGCTTCCCTCTATAATGTAACTTCTTTGTTTCCTTTTCTTGGGATGCACTTAGTTGCATGTCAATTACTGAGGCCCTTCAGTTTGAAACCATGACACCTTCATCCTCTTGCCTAGTTTTTTCAGAGCTTTGTGCTTTGACTCAAAGTCAGAGACATCCATGACCATAGGAAGAAGTCCAATTCTCAACTTTTAGAAATCACACCAACACTACAGGGTTAACAATGATTAATTAAATATCAAAAGTTCAAAGTAGACACACAACTTCTTGTATATTGAAGTTATTCAGTCTCTTTTACTTGGGCAGTACGTGCTAAAAGGTGAAGATTGTCACCTTGACGGATTCATTTGAAAATATCCTTGTCCAGTGATCACTCTCCATTTAGGAGAGTGTACAGAAGTCCTTGTTTTACAGCATACCCTACTTCGTCATCTTAGACTTTAGTGAATGACTTACTGCCAGAAATTCCAGACCCTTATATTTTATGAAAGTGTATTTTCATAAAATACACTTTTTTTTTTAAACATCTTTATTGGGGTATAATTGCTTTACAATGGTGTATTAGTTTCTGCTTTATAACAGAGTGAATCAGTTATTCATATTAAAATACACTTTTTTTTTTAAACATCTTTATTGGGGTATAATTGCTTTACAATGGTGTATTAGTTTCTGCTTTATAACAGAGTGAATCAGTTATTCATATTAAAATACACTTTTTTGTACTTTATGAAATACATCTTGTATTTCATAAAATAAATAAATTTTGTATTTCTTCTAGAGCAGAGGAAGAAAAATGCCTTATATTTTAAGGATTCTAAATGCGACCTTAATGTTTACTATGAATAGAATGTTGCATCTTGCAATTTAGAGCTATTTGACTTATATAGGTTAAGAATTGTATTAATTTGGAAAAACTTTTAACTTAATATCCTCTACTGCCACAGTCTGCATTTTTAAATAACTTTAAAATATTTTGTGTATTGTGAAAAACATAGGAAAAAAAAAGAATACAACAAAATATACCCGTTTCACAGCTGAGAGAACTTCTGTACCTAATGCAATATTTTCTTCCTTTTCTAGTCATATAAAATGGTGTGGTTTTTAGTATACTTGAGATATATCTATATATTTATCTGTATCCTTATATCCACTTTCTTCACTTTTTTCTTCCCCACGTCTTTAATATTCTTTAAATACAGACTTTGATGACCTGAATGCCTCTTTATTTTTCTTGTTTTGTGACTTCGTATGCTCTTACCTGTACTCTAACAGAAATTTTATTAAAAATTATGGAATTTTAGTTATGAAAAATTAGTTATTTCATAGTCATAACTAATTCCACATGAATTTATGAACTCCTGTGACAAACAGCAAGTAAATAAATTGGGCTTCTATTTATTAGGCTATTTTAGAAGTCATTTGCTTTTTAGGTTATGTAATGACTTTTGTCCTGGTCCAAAGTCCTGGACTATTGTTAAGTCCAGTGAAAACTCGTAAATTTTCTTATTTCTAACAGCCTGTGTTTTTGACTGCTTGGGTATGTGTGATTTTAAAGACCAGTTTAAGGGCATGGGTTGGTATTACATCATTACAACTTAGTAGCTTTTGGGGGCAAATTACTACTTCTAACTGCACCTCGTTTTCAAGGTTAGAGTAAAAACGGAGATAATAAAGTACATAGCACGCAGCCTGGCTGAAAAGAGGTATTGAATTTTTTTTTTTTTCCCCTGTCGATGTCATTGTGAGGTCTTTGGGTCTTTGGTTATTGAGCACAACAAAGGTGACTAGCCTTAGTAGAGGTTGAAAAGCATCAAAACTCTTCCCTGCCCATTCAAGGTAGCTGGCCATGGTGGAGAAAAAAGCAGATAGCCCATTTAAATTCTGGGCCAGCAGGAAGACATCTTTGTTCTGTTCCATTGAGAAGCTTAGTCTCACTGATAACTTCAGACCTTGCAATGAGCCAACTGAATGCATACATTTAAAAATTCACTGCTGTGTCTGCAGTGCTTAACTGTCACTTTAAATGCATGCTGGTCCCAAATAATTGACTTACGGATTCTTTCTCATTATTCAATGCCTGGATAGTTTCTGTAGAAATGCCAGTGTTACTATAATTAATTATTATGGATGATAATAGTAATGGCTTCCATTTACTGAGTGCTATGACAGCTAAGAGCTTTTCATGCATTATCTCATTTAGTCCTTATGGCTACTCTGTGTGACTGTTGCTATCACCCATTTCATGGATGAGGAAACTGAGATCTAGAGAGATTTGGTGTTCTGTAGTAAGAATTTGAATGCTGGTTTGTCTGCCTCCAGAATCTGAGCTTATAGCTTTACTTGTTACTCTCCTGCCTTTGTTTCATAAGTACCGCATATCCTCATAAATTCGTTCCATCTACATTAGTTGAGGGCCTACTCTGTGCTAGACACTGTTCTAAGTGATGGGTTATAGCATGCAGACAAAAGTTCCTGCCCTCCTAAGGCTCACCTTCTATTATAGTTACTTGTGTCTATTCCCCTCCCAGAATGAGTATTCTTGTAAGATAGCAACTGTGTCTTATTCTTCTTGAGTTTTAGGGGTGTAACTGAAATTTTATTCAAGGCTAAGAATAATTCCTGGGATTATAAAAGAATTATTTCTACAAAAATCTTGGAAGCTAGAGTGTGCCCCATTTTATTTATCAGGCTCTCTGTTTTTTAGCACTGACGTTTAGCCCTTCCAGACTCATCAGATTGGAGATGTTCTTACTGATTATTGTAAGAAGCATTCAGAGATTTTTTATTATTAATGATAAAGCTACTTTTTGATATCTTGGTTTCTTTGACTTCCTTAAATGTTGTATAGGGGTGTGGAGCAGCATTAAAAAGACCTCTTTCTTTAGAACACACCCAAAATACATTGGGCAAACCTAGTACAAGGGCCTTAACTACTTTATAGAATAAGTTATTCTGGTATAATTGAAAAGTAAACGATATAACAGGGGAAGTCCAACTGTGAGAGAAAAAATTGATACCGTTTTTCTGTGATATCAGGAATATTAAATCCTTTCCTATAAATAAATTATAACCATTTTAAGGAAGATGGTTTCATAAAGTATTAGTGGTGAATGTCCCTTTTTAGCCATGTAGAAGCTGAGAATAATTTTAAATGTCCTTGGGTGGAGGCTAGCATATTATATTCTTCACCTAGGAAATCATCCATAAATACTGTGAAGTATGTGGTATTTTAATAAAGTAATTGCCTTATTTTTGCCTTGGAAATACAATTAAACCTTTTTGGTCCCATAAGGGGCAAATGGCTGGTAATGTTCCTCATTTTTTAAAAGTCATTTGTCCACGTGGGAGGATCATTGGCAAACCAGCTGGCTGTTCTTTTTAGATTTTGACATTGCTTCTCCTTGGGACCCTGATGCTGGGCTGTCTGATAACCAGTGCAAACTCCATGAATATCTTTCGTTTCTCTAGAAGGAGGTGTGGATTTGCAAAGCTACCAGCTGGATATGCAAATACTACCTGACGGGCCAAAGAGTGATGTGGACTTTTCAGAGATTCTTAATGCAATACAAGAAAGTAAGTTTCACTCCAATTTTAAATTCACCGTGAAAGGAGAAAGTGTTATAACACTTGGGAGGGGTAATAAAACTAGAAACCTTAGATGCCAAGCTTTAAAATAAAATGATGTCTTAAAAGAGATGCTGTGTAAAATAATTTTGATACCAGAAGAGATGGTTAGTGAAATGCTGGTTTAATTTTTGAAACTGAACCACATAGTTTTGGGGTCTTCGATGAAGCCTAGTGGGAAAACTGTAGAGGGATTATAAATTCTGTATATTTAGTATGCTATAATATTTAGTAAGTAACTGGGTATTATAATTTTTTAGATTCCTTGATTAATCATAATCAAAGAAAAATCTTTAAGAAAACAGAATACTATTCCTTCACTCAGATATCAGTAGTAAGAAGTAAATGTTGACGCAGTAAGCTGAAATCAGGAGAATTTTATTCTCCAAAATGGGTATTGGAGTCATTGATGCTGGGCCGTGACCGAGAATTAAACTCGTCTTTTCTAAGCATTTTGATTAATCAAGGTTTACGCTTCTTCCACTGTTTTATTGTTGTACAGTTTTCACTAAGAACTTTATCATAATCAATACATTTGCTCAGGTTAGAGCTTTAGCATTGAGGATGGGAATGCAGTATCACATACTAAGTCATCAGCATTCGTGTTCTGCTGTCAGAGCTCTAATTCTAGATAATGTTAGTCTTTTAATATCAAATAGTACTATGTAATATTGGATTTGAAGAGTGTAGACTGGAAGAGCATTGTATAAAGAACTACTGCAATCTTTTGCTACTTTTAGTTTTGTGACATTGCATTTCTATACAATGAAATACATATTTCTAAATTATATTTCTATATTTTCTGTGAACATTTTAAAGCATTTTAGTACTATTTATCCCCTTTTGTCATTGCACTACCCTCCTGACCTTATGGGGTAATTACTATGTCCACTTTACAGGTAGGACAGCTCAGGGTGGGAGAAGTTAAGTGCCGACGTAATAAGATAAATAATGGAGACCGGAGTGGAATGGAGCGTCTCCTACCCTTCATTTAATTCCTTCATGAATGTACTTGGTATAGGGTTTAAACACTGAGGTGAAGGATCCTGGAATTGAAGAAAATGAGGCTACTTCTGAGAGAAATATTTTTAATGAAGACTATAAGAGGACCAACTATTTGTTCTGGGTGGGCAATCCCTTCATACTAGGTTACTGAATAAAAGCGAAAAAATGTCCCCAGGAGAATAAAAATCAAATTAATAGACACTGGAAAGAAATTGACTTTTCATGGAAAGTTATAAAATTGTGTAATTACTTCCTTTGATTTGAAAGATGATAGATTATACTTTGCTGAAAGGATTTTTTAAAATAAATGATAAAAGCTGGCTTCTATGCAGATATAGGAGATGAACTTCAATTTTTTTAGGGCTGAATGAACTTATATCAGGATGGGAATAAAGACGCAGATCTACTAGAGAATGGACTTGAGGACACGGGGTGGGGGGGTAAGCTGGGACAAAGAGAGTGGCATGAACATATATACACTACCAAATGTAAAACTGATAGCTAGTGGGAAGCAGCCGCATAGCACAGGGAGATCAGCTTGGTGCTTTGTGACCACCTAGAGGGGTGGGATAGAGAGGGTGAGAGGGTGGGAGATGCAAGAGGGAGGAGATATGGGGATATATGTATACGTATAGCTGATTCACTTTGTTATACAGCAGAAACTAACACACCATTGTAAAGCAATTATACTCCAATAAAGATGTTAAAAAAACTTACTTATCAAAAAGCTAGTATCATTGTAAAACTAAATGTTCATAAGATTATTTTTATCGTAATTTTTGTGAGCACACCTTAGTAAAAACACATTTGTTTTTGATGTTAACTGTTTTATAGTTTAGAATGGTGATCTCTTTATGAACCAGTAGGAGAGTACAAGTTTGTGAGAACTTAATATTTCAATTTAAAAACAAGAAAAAGGAAATATTACTTCATTTTAGAAAGCAAATCAAGTTTTATAGGTTTAAGCATTTTCCAGTGTTTGAGAATTAATCTGTTTATCGTCTTGTTTAAAAAACAAGTTTTATGCTAAGTAGGTTTGGGAAGCTGTCCACACAGTCTGGGGCAACTCTGGTAAGAAAGATCTGGGCCGTTTATCTACCTTCAGAGTCTAACTAGAGATTCCAAATATGATTCAGATGTTTAACCAGTTCATTGAAATTTCTTAAGTATAAAAACACATGGTTTGGTTCTTCAAGGAACTGTGCCTTAGATTATTGTTTATAGAAAGCTTTGAAAGACCAAAATATAAAAAAATGTAAAAAACAGGGGCTTCCCTGGTGGCGCAGTGGTTGAGAGTCTGCCTGCCAATGCAGGGGACACAGGTTCGTGCCCCGGTCCGGGAAGATCCCACATGCCACGGAGCGGCTGGGCCCGTGAGCCATGGCCGCTGAGCCTGCGCGTCTGGAGCCTGTGCTCCACAACGGGAGAGGCCACAACAGTGAGAGGCCTGAGTACAGCAAAAAAAAAAAAAATGTAAAAAATATAGGATTTGAGCATCAGTGAAACTCCTTGTCTGCTACAAATGTTTTTACTGGGATTAGCAGGATGATGGAAAGATTTCACTGTTTCTTAGAATTTGTGGACATATATGTATGACCTTCAAGATTGGGCTAGAAGACTCTGTGTGTGTGTGTGTGTGTGTGTGTGTGTATGCGTGCATGTTTCAAACATTTCTTGAGTGTCTTAGCAGCCATCATACTAAGTGCTCTCCCTTACTATCTCTTGTCATTGTTAAAACAACCGTAATTAATAGATACTATTTTCTCCATTTTAAAGGTGAATATACCTCCCCAGGCGATATGATTAATATATGATAAAGTCAGTATTTCATTGTATGTCAGTCCTTGTTATGCTAAATAAAAAGTGAGATAAAAATGATTAGGAGGGCTTCGCTGGTGGCGCAGTGGTTGAGAGTCCGCCTGCCGATGCAGGGGACACGGGTTCGTGCCCCGGTCCAGGAAGATCCCACATGTCGCGGAGCGGCTGGGCCCGTGAGCCATGGCCGCTGAGCCTGCGCGTCTGGAGCCTGTGCTCCACAACGGGAGAGGCCACAACAGTGAGAGACCCGCGTACTGCAAAAAAAAAAAAAAAAAAAAGATTAGGAAAAACTGAACTACTTTGGATTTTTACCATTTGATTCTTATGTTGTTACATCTGGATGCAAGAATTCCTCTACCATGCTTCTACGTTGTAAAATACATTCATATCTTTTCCTATATTGCTCATGCCCTAAGTATAGCTGCATCTGTTCAAAAGAAGATGTCTCAGAATGGTTAAGCATCCATGAGTTGTTTTTCAACTTCCCCCATATCAGATATATGGCTTATAGGAAAGCAAGAGTAATTTTATCCATCCATTCATGTATCCATCTCACCTGTCATATGCCAGGTACTGTAGTAGGCATAACACTTTAAAGCAGTGGTGAACATTTTGGTGCACAGTTGGATTCAGGAAAAACTTGGTCTTATTGTTCAAAATGAAAGCAAGCCATTTGCTTTCTAGGAGAAAAGCCTTTATATGTGGCAGTCTAATGTAAGGGGATACTTGTGTTTGGGTGTGCGTGTATTTTTTCCTTCATGTTTTTTTTCCCTCCCTTTCTATTCTCATCCCAAGTTAGCAGCCAGGTCTCTTCAACGCCTTTGTTTCAGCAGAGTTTTTTTTTTTTTTAAATAAATTTTTTTATTTGCTTGTTTTTGGCTGCATTGGGTCTTCTTGCTGTGCGCAGGCTATTCTTCATTGTGGTTCCCGGGCTTCTCATTGTGGTGGCTTCTCTTGTTGCGGAGCACAGGCTCTAGGCACGTGGGCTTCAGTAGTTGTGGCATGTGTGCTCAGTAGTTGTGGCTGCGGGCTTTAGAGCTCAGGCTCAGTAGCTGTGGGTCACAGGCTTAGTTGCTCTGCGACATGTTGGATCTTCCCAGACCAGGGCTTGAACCCGTGTCCCCTGCATTGGCAGGCGGATTCTTAACCACTACGCCACCAGGGAAGTCTCTGCAGTTTTGTGTTGCCTAAAGTTCCTGCCTTTTGTTCTCTGAACGTCTGAGCTCCTGAGTGCCTGATGCTTAGATAGGAGAAGAAGAGAGAGAGAGAAATAGACAGGAGGAATGTCCTGAGACAGGCTTCCTTGGAGTGTCCTGCAGTGGTAGCATGGCTTCTTGTAGGTGGGTGGGAAGAGAGGGAGTGGCTGTGTTGTGTGCCTGTGGGGACTGTGCCTGGGCCACCTGAACTGCCAGCCATGGCTGAGATTCTGCAGCCTGAGGAAGGAACATATCCTTCAGCATTCAGGGAACTTTGGAGGCTCTGGGAAGGCAGCAGTCTCATCTTCCTGTTTCTTTGTTGTATACCCAGTTCCTTGAGCAGAGTATGGAGTATAGTAGCTGCTCAGTAAATTTTGTTAATGTATGAGTGAGTGAATTCCACTGTAGACTCACAAAGCGGGCAGCTCAGCAGTAGCCAGTGGAGCAGCTTGGAGACCAGAGTAGTTTGCAAAACCTCCAGAACCTTTGTGCAGCTCTGGATATGTGAGGTAGAGGAGTGGGAATGTCAGCAATGACTGAAATGAAACTGTCTGCTGCGGATAGGTTGGTTGTATCCTCAGATGGGAAACCTGTGGCTATAGAGGGCCAACTGTATAGACTCTGGGGACTCCTGAGTGGCATTCATACCCTGACAGACTTTATTGTGATATAGTCCATTGGGTTCTAATGGCCTAGGGAATGAAAGAGACCAAATAGCAAAGTATTTGGAAGGAGAACTGGGAGGTTGGAAGGATTATTGGATGATTGTTACACTATAGTCCGACCCTTTGTGCCTGCATATGCCCCTAAGCAATCATATAGCTGTTCCCACATTGGTGGTGCTCTTGCTTCTGTGGGTGATGAGACTTAGTCATTTCTCAGTGACATCCAGTGAGTCATTTTGAATCCAGTGTCTTGAGCCCTGATTTC